TGGAAATTTTATAAGATTTTAGCTTCTTATAGCTTTTCCAAGCTTAGCAATGGATTCCAGCAAAGATTGGAAGTGGACTTAAAATAAAAAAAAATTATGAAATTATTGTCTTCAAAAAAAGAAAGCAAGCTAAAAGAATGGCCTATTTTGATGCTTTTTTTTTTTTTTTGTTAAAGGTGGGCTCTCTTTCAGAAACGAGAGGAAGTTTCAAGGTTCATTTGTTTTCAGGTTTGTTTAAACTGTTTTAATCTCTGTTGCAGTCATCAGGAACTAGAACAGAAGTACAAGGGAAAGAAAAAATGTTTAAATGCTGTCATTTTACTGTGATCCTTTAAGATCTAGGATCTAAAAATGTTTTCCTTTAAATGCTAAAGAATTGCTGGGCTGGGCACTCCTGCTGTGAATGAAACTTGAATTAGAAAGGAAACAAGGACACACTATGTATCTAAAAAAACTATCCCTTTGTACTTTTTAGTATTTAAGTGTTTAAAACCAAATAGATGAGAAAAATGTTGAGAACAGGTGAGAAAGAGAAAAAAAGAGTCAATATAAATGTGCCTTTCCCAGGAAAAAAGAAATAAAGCAGATATCAGTCTTGTCATCATTCAAAATTCCTTATGGATGTAAAAGAAATCACAGTTCTGAACATCTAAACAAAGAATGATGGACTCAAAATTATTCCAAAAGGCTGACAACATAAAGTGTCAAGGTCTTTAGATTTCTAAGTGCTAGTCATCATTTATTTAATTAAAATGGTACCTGGAAATATTTTGTTTTCAGAGAAGATTTTTGTGAGGTGAATTAGGATTTTTTTTTTTTTTTCAGAGGACAGGAGGAGACAGACTTAAGATTGCCTTTTTTGATCTGTTTGGATGATTATCATGGCACAGATTTAAAGCTGTGAAGTCTACAGCAGGAATCACCTCTTTTCTCCCTTCAGAACATCCACATGAAAACATGAGTGTTTCTTTCCCTTTTACCTGAAAGCTCAAAACTTCTTTTAAAACCAGTGCCTTAAAGGGGAGTTAGGGTGGGTGTCTGTTTTTTCAGGGGTACAGACAAACATTTCCAAAAGGATCTGTTTTCATTCCTGCATAGAATGAAAGTAAATTCTGAAATCTTGAAAGCCGCTCTCTAATGAAACATCACTTTTTGGTTAGCCCCACTAAAACAACCCTCTGCTTTTTGATCAAGCATCACCTGCAACAACAAATTTCACCACTCAAAAGCAATTGGTTCAAAAGTTCTTAATCAGAGGACTTCCTTGGCTCTTTCAGAATGTTTGATATGACCATCAGAACTAGCCCTAGCAATGCTAAAACTGAAACTACAGCTAGGCAAATGAATCATCTTTTTCTTCTTCAAAACTTGTTTTTACAGCTTGAAATATTTCTGATGATCGCAGCCATAAGTAGGAATAAAGACACTGGTCACTTCAAAATTTAAGACTGCTTTACTGAATAAGACATACTATGAAAATGTAAAATTTAAAGAGCACTGGTCTCTTGCTGATACTGACCAAGTGCATTATCAGCAAATATCTGCCTACTGCCATTCAAAGGAAAAAACATTTGGTTGAAGAGAAAATTATGTGTACACACAATCAGCAATATTTAAGGTGCCTGAAGTGTCTAATTCCAATTTTACAATTCTACTCTATGCATTAATAAATAAACAGCAAATGAACATTTCTCCCAATTGGAGCTATTGACTGCAGAAACACTTGACAATATTAATGACGAAACTTCAGTAGAGCAATTCTCATTTTAATGAAGAAAATTTCTTATCTATGAGTTTTTCAATATGGTATAAAAAAACAATAAAGAAAAACACTCAAAACTAATTTCCATAAAGCTCTAATGTATAGAATGAACAAATACCGAGTGCACAATATTTGTCTCTGTCGTTCATGAGCGTAACAAAAGCCTTGGCTCAGGTAGCTTCATTATGTTATCCTTGCTCACCACAGTAAATAGATCCATCATGCAATACAATGGTTTACTATGAAAGGGCTGAAGAATGAGGATACTGTTTCACCGCAGCAGAAGATGAGACAGAATGTCTCTTTGAAGCAGTCTTGGTGCTTCAGAGGTTTGCAGGAGCTAATGGAGAGAGATGATGTGGAAAATTGCCTCCTACAGGTTGAATTGGTGTGGTCCCTGGGGTTTTCTTTCCCCCGCCCCTACCTCCACTCCCTGCCACTCTTTAGGACAGAGAGAAAGGGAAAGCAAATCTTTAGGACCACTGCGATTCTTACACTTTAGAAAGATCATTGTGTTGGGAATCACCCCACACTTTAGTAAGGAACTGCATTGTCTAGCACCACGTTACTCTAAAATTTAACTGTGGGTATTTTGTAGGGTTGCATGTCACCCAATTTCTCTAAGAAAAAGATCAGAAGTAAAGGAGTGGATGATAGAGGCAGCAATGGCCTGTGAGAGCTCTATGCATTGCAAAGCTTCTTTTGGGTTTTGCTTTTTCACACTCAACACACCCTACCACCACAACCCCTGCCACACCACATGATTGCAGTCAGGAAATACAAGACTTAATTTGACCATCTCAAACTCAAAATGCCAAATTTTACTAGATAAGAAACCTTGCAAGATAACAATATTTAAGAGTTTCTCTAAACTTGCTAGTGATATGGTCCTTCTGAACAAGGACCCAGCCATGTAATTTCCTTAACAGTGACTTACTGAAAAATAAGTGAATATGGGACTCACAATTCTGATGAAGGCTCAAGATTAATTTATCTTTAGACAGCATATTGTTACAGAAATAACAGGATTAATTTTAACCCACTTGCTTTGAGAAAACTCTTCAAGTCCAGCACTCCCAGTTTTCAATTCACAGACATTTCTTAGAGTCTAGTGTTTTTCATTAAGGTCAAGGGAAACTTTGATTTTCTCACCTTTGCAGTTTCCTCGGTAGGCTATTTCCAGCTGAGGGTCTTTGCATTTGGCTCGTTGAAACTCACACCGGGACAGAAAAGTTCTTCCATCAGATGCACAGAGTGATTTCTGAGGGGAACCTGCACAGTCCAGGCTGCATTCTCTGTCTTTGTCTTGGTCCACTCTCAAAAACTAGGGGAAAAAAAAAAAAAAAATATGCTGTAGAAATGCTATTCCCATGTGAAAACTTCTCTGTGGTCCCTTCCCCAGCAGACATACAAATATCACCCAAAAATTGAAAAGAAAGTTCTGCTAGATTTGTCTATTCAAATCCTGGACAATTCAGTATATCTGGGATTATTCTGCTGCTGCTGCTGTGAAATGGCAATGATTGCAACATCTCTGTAACATACACTAAATCCAGTATCGCAATTAGGAGATCCCTGAATCTCTTTATTATGAATCTCAAAACAACAACTTGGAGTTTTTGGAGTGAAAATGGTGATGGCAAAAACATTCTTCACAACAAAAATGAGACAGCAATGGATGCTTGTCTATTTTATTAGATATTTATTAATTATTCTACAACGACATGCTGAAAAGTCTGTTCTAAGACCAAGTAGGATTATTTACATAAATATTCTCGCTGTGGATTTCAGTGCACCTCTTTCTAGTTTTGACACAAAGCTACACTGAACTCAACTAATTGTTCCTCCCTCCAGTGCCAAGACCACAAGGCTCATGAGTTTGGTATCATCCTTGGCACTGTGAAAAGAAGGAGCTTCTCGCCCTGAAACATGCTGCCAAAGAAAAACTAATCAGATCTGATGCCACTGCATGCCAGCCAAAAATGAAGACAGATAAAAACAAAGGTATTACTTTATCATCTGAGCTCTTGAAAAGCTGAGACTAGGGAGGAGGTGAAGTCAGTAAGTGCTTAGATGAATTTCTCTATCCTTCTGCTTCTTCTGAACGAGCACAAAATTTAGCAAGGCATACAGCCACTAGGATGTNCTCAAAACTAATTTCCATAAAGCTCTAATGTATAGAATGAACAAATACCGAGTGCACAATATTTGTCTCTGTCGTTCATGAGCGTAACAAAAGCCTTGGCTCAGGTAGCTTCATTATGTTATCCTTGCTCACCACAGTAAATAGATCCATCATGCAATACAATGGTTTACTATGAAAGGGCTGAAGAATGAGGATACTGTTTCACCGCAGCAGAAGATGAGACAGAATGTCTCTTTGAAGCAGTCTTGGTGCTTCAGAGGTTTGCAGGAGCTAATGGAGAGAGATGATGTGGAAAATTGCCTCCTACAGGTTGAATTGGTGTGGTCCCTGGGGTTTTCTTTCCCCCGCCCCTACCTCCACTCCCTGCCACTCTTTAGGACAGAGAGAAAGGGAAAGCAAATCTTTAGGACCACTGCGATTCTTACACTTTAGAAAGATCATTGTGTTGGGAATCACCCCACACTTTAGTAAGGAACTGCATTGTCTAGCACCACGTTACTCTAAAATTTAACTGTGGGTATTTTGTAGGGTTGCATGTCACCCAATTTCTCTAAGAAAAAGATCAGAAGTAAAGGAGTGGATGATAGAGGCAGCAATGGCCTGTGAGAGCTCTATGCATTGCAAAGCTTCTTTTGGGTTTTGCTTTTTCACACTCAACACACCCTACCACCACAACCCCTGCCACACCACATGATTGCAGTCAGGAAATACAAGACTTAATTTGACCATCTCAAACTCAAAATGCCAAATTTTACTAGATAAGAAACCTTGCAAGATAACAATATTTAAGAGTTTCTCTAAACTTGCTAGTGATATGGTCCTTCTGAACAAGGACCCAGCCATGTAATTTCCTTAACAGTGACTTACTGAAAAATAAGTGAATATGGGACTCACAATTCTGATGAAGGCTCAAGATTAATTTATCTTTAGACAGCATATTGTTACAGAAATAACAGGATTAATTTTAACCCACTTGCTTTGAGAAAACTCTTCAAGTCCAGCACTCCCAGTTTTCAATTCACAGACATTTCAAATGCAGTTTTAGAGTCTAGTGTTTTTCATTAAGGTCAAGGGAAACTTTGATTTTCTCACCTTTGCAGTTTCCTCGGTAGGCTATTTCCAGCTGAGGGTCTTTGCATTTGGCTCGTTGAAACTCACACCGGGACAGAAAAGTTCTTCCATCAGATGCACAGAGTGATTTCTGAGGGGAACCTGCACAGTCCAGGCTGCATTCTCTGTCTTTGTCTTGGTCCACTCTCAAAAACTAGGGGAAAAAAAAAAAAAAAATATGCTGTAGAAATGCTATTCCCATGTGAAAACTTCTCTGTGGTCCCTTCCCCAGCAGACATACAAATATCACCCAAAAATTGAAAAGAAAGTTCTGCTAGATTTGTCTATTCAAATCCTGGACAATTCAGTATATCTGGGATTATTCTGCTGCTGCTGCTGTGAAATGGCAATGATTGCAACATCTCTGTAACATACACTAAATCCAGTATCGCAATTAGGAGATCCCTGAATCTCTTTATTATGAATCTCAAAACAACAACTTGGAGTTTTTGGAGTGAAAATGGTGATGGCAAAAACATTCTTCACAACAAAAATGAGACAGCAATGGATGCTTGTCTATTTTATTAGATATTTATTAATTATT